CTCCCAGGACCTGAAGTGGACGTCCAACATCAGGACCATCACCAAGAAAGCACAGCAGAGGATGAACTTCCTGCTCCAGCTCAAGACAAGTACAGACTTCAGTGGACAGTCAGGACTGTAGAAAAGGTCATTGGTGTGAGCCTGTCCTCCATGGAGGACCTGTACACCTCATGGGTCAAAAGGAGGGCGGAGAGGATCACTGCTGACCCCTCACATCCTGGACACAATCTGTTTGAACTCCTCCCCTCTGGACGGTGTTACAGGTCACTGTGCACTAAGACAACCAGGTATAGGGACAGTTTCTTCCCCCAGGCTGTCGCTCTGATGAACACTTAACCAATGACAGTATGATTGGACAATAACTCTCAGTGCAACACCTGTAAATATACCTGGTACAGATTATACAGACTCCTACAGGTCTCTAGTTCTTAAGTTCTCTGTTTTTATCCCTATTTATCTCATTTCAATGAACATTCCATTGTTGTCTGTATTGTTTACTGTTTATACTGCTTATCTTTGTTATATTACAGCCTTATGCTGGTTTACTGTTTGCACATTGAGAGCTGATGTACCAGAGTCTAATTCCTTGTGTGTCCAACACACCTGGTCAATAAAGATGATTCTGATTCTGATCTTAAACGCTTCAAGCGTTGATTGTCACACAAACCAGAATTAATAATTAAAACAGACAATAAAAAGCATGTAGCCTATATAAAGATGCCTGTTGCTGTAGCAGCCATCGTAACTAAGACTGTAGCTATCACAGCCAAAACAACAGCAATCATAGAACGCTTCAAGCGTTGATTGTCACACAAACCAGAATTAATAGATAGATAGATACTTTATTACAGACTCAAAGTCCAGATATATAAATGCTAAATATTGTTTACTGTTTATACTGCTTATCTTTGTTATATTACAGCCTTATGCTGGTTTACTGTTTGCACATTGAGAGCTGATGTACCAGAGTCTAATTCCTTGTGTGTCCAACACACCTGGTCAATAAAGATGATTCTGATTCTGATCTTAAACGCTTCAAGCGTTGATTGTCACACAAACCAGAATTAATAATTAAAACAGACAATAAAAAGCATGTAGCCTATATAAAGATGCCTGTTGCTGTAGCAGCCATCGTAACTAAGACTGTAGCTATCACAGCCAAAACAACAGCAATCATAGCCAAAAGTGCGATCTTCGGTCTCAAAGTAAGCATAAACTTTATTGCCAAGTATTTCAAGAACACAAGGAAATTAACTCCAGCTCAATGGCCCCCAATGTGCACAACATAAAAACTAAATAAATACACAATATGTGCAGTACATTACAGTAACGTTGACGTGTCTAACCTTAGTCAAATATACCATCTTAATACACAATGAAAACACAGAATAAAAGAACAGTGTAGCCTACCTTAAAGATCCGGCTCGATGTTGACTTGTCACCAAAGCTGAGTAAAGGAACAGGTCTGTAATTTGTATCCACCACAATGCACAAACCAACATTCAAAATTTAGCGCCCTCTCACAGCGACCAGTAGCTGTGGCTGCATTCGGAGCTCGGCCCCTCTCCTCAAAACACTCTTTAACCCCATTCTTTAAATCTGGGCTATTTATTATGGAATTTACGGCTGTTTCACTTACTGATCTGTTTTGAATGTTGAAACAGAGGTGGCTCGTTGTAAGCAGCCCATTTTTGTGTTCCTGATAAGACGTTGTGACAGAGAACTAGAGTTAATCTCCAAAAACAGGTCCTGTGTTGTTATTTGTGATTACAGATGGGGCTACCAGCTGCTGCATAGCTATGTGAATGACTGGGGCCCGTGGGAAAGCTGTCAAAAACAACTTGTGATTGTTGAAACTGATGCAAACAGAGGCAGAGGTATGATTTTAAAAAGGTGATGTGTTCCCCTTATCTGTTTGGATATACAGCATGTTATAATATAACCCTGAGACTGGGTTGACATTCTGTATAGAGATTAATCCGGGGTTTGAGGGGGCGGGACAACGGTTCTGATTGGTCTAATGGACCGGTCAAATTAATTCTGATGAGAAGTGGTGTAACAGCGCCAGCACAACAGAAACAGCCTCGTTCAACAACTAACCCAGAAGGCCTTACATGTGCTGGAGGCTTTGACACAGCTGCCCGTACACCTCGCACCCTCCTCTACTGCTGAGATTAAAAGGCTGAAGGACAGGTTAAAGCCTTCAGTAATGTGTTACAAACTCATTAAGCACAGCTTTCCGTCGGTGCTGCCTTATGAAAACATGTTACATAATTGTATTTTCTACATCTCTTCTTTCCATATAATTCTTATAGTTAACTAAATCATTATTATATGCTGCAAAGAACATCACAGTCAAGTTGCTAATTAAGGTCACAGTAAAGGCAGTGTTCAACTCATGGTCAGTCATATGCTCCTTTTACACGGTACTGTGTTTGGTTTATGGTGGAATTCCATTGTTAATGTGGAAAAAAAGAAAAGCAATACTGTGGCTACCACCACTACTATACTGTCATTTCAATGGAATACAGCATGATACCGTGTTTAGGTTCATGGCGTTCTAACAGTAGTACTGTAGTAACCAGCCTACTGTGAAACCAAGACTATATTCTCCTGTAACTCATGACATCATCACAGTAACATACTGTAGAACAAGCAGTAGAACAGTAAAGGTAACGGTGAAAGACCGGCAACACGCTGCCAGTATTTTACCATTGTTTATAGTAAAATACGAAGGTGATGCCGTGAAGGAAGCCCAAGTGACAGACAGAGCTGGTTGTCATGGTAACCAAACTGATAACACCAAGGCCGGCTGGCAGAGATAAACACACATGGTCAGGGTGAGGCCCCACACATCAGTAACCACATATACATGCCCTCTGACCTCTCCAAGGTTTTCCATGCGTGGCAGGGAGGTTATAAACAGAACTCAGCAACCTCTCTTCATTTTCTTCTTCCTCTCCGTCTCATCATGTTCACCGGTCTACTCTCCTCGCTTTCTTCCTTTACCTCCCTCCCACCATCAGTCCTCCTCCTCATCCTTGTTGTGGTGGTCGCCTGGTTTCTGATCATATATCCTGGAACTAAACCTTCATCCTGTCCTCCCCCAGCTCGGGGCTCCATCCCCTGCCTGCCGAGGCTCCCCGTCCTGGGCAGCCTCCCCTGGATGAGAGGACACCTCCCCCCTCACCTGCTCTTCTCTCAGTTGGCCCAGAGGTGAGACACAAAGCGGGAGACAGGGTGTGTGAGGGTTTATGTTCCTGATCCTAGAGCAGAACGCTGCAGACCGGACTTAGGTTTGCCAAAACTCCCAGGTGCTGCTGTAGAGGACTGTTTTCTCATTTCCTCAGTCTTCTGTGACAGTAAACTCAGTGTCTCTGGATTTTGGACAAACCAAGACGTCACCTTTGACTCCAGGACACATTTTACTATTTGCTGACACTTTATAGCTCAGATTATATTTGTGTGTCTGCTTGTACACCGTGTTGTTTCAGGTACGGCTCTCTGTTTGCGCTCTACCTCGGTCCTCAGTACACTGTGGTGGTGAACGACCACCAACATGCCAAAGAGGTCCTCCTGCAGAGAGGAAAGGACTTCGCTGGACGTCCAAACATGGTGAGACAAAACCTAACGGCCAATTAACTGAGTTGTCCACTGACAGACAACTATTTTGATGATCGATTAATTGTTTAGACCCTTTTCAAGCAAAAATGACAAAAGTGAATATTTCATGGTTTTCTTGGTCAAGTTTCAGAGGAGACAGCTCTGAGGACCAAGCAGTAACTGAGGAAACAAGAACATTAATTAATAAAGAATCTGTTAGTTGGAGACTTGTTTATTCAACACTTGCTCAGAACAAGAAACCTCTAACTCTCTAAAATGTGTTTCTGCTTACAATAAGCCACGAGCCCGATTCTCTAGTTTAATATCTGATCACAACTGGGTTTTACAGATGACACAAGTAGCATTTTACAGCCATCAGTACTTCTTCTACCAAAAACTGCCAAATATCTAAAGATATTTTCTCATCCAACAATCACTTTTCTGAAAAATGCTTTATTGAACATTCATGCATTGAGTTTTTCTGAAGTTATTTTGTTTCATATTTTTTGCATTTTTATGTTTACTGCAAAAACAATTTCATTTCATGGACAACAAAGATATGAACTGATAGTTATAGGCACTGAAGAACTTGTATATAAATAAATACAAGCAGGGATATTTTAAAGCCCGTAGCAGGTCTCAGGCAGGTGCACAACTACTAGACAACAGACTGTGGTTTTAGAGAAATCTCACCGTACTGGATGTTAACACCATCAGATCATCTCGTGAGTTTTCACAGTCAGATAAATCGAAGAAAGCTTCTAGTGAACAGTCACTGATGTGTTTGGTTCCTCGCCAGGTGACCACCAACCTGTTGACCAGAGGAGGTAAAGACATCGCCTTTGCAGACTACTCTCCTCTGTGGAAGCTCCAACGCCGCCTCACCCACAACTCCTTCACTCTGTTTGGAGAAGGAACCAGTCGACTGCAGGACATCGGTACCACCCCCCCCCAATCGATCAGTTCTCACCCCCAGTTTATAGACACACACTCATCCAACAGTCCCACAGTGAACCCTCCTCCATGAAGGTGCTGATGGTTTGTGTTCACACGGTTTCACAGAGGTGCTGGTTCACCTGTGTGGTCACCGTGGTGGCACACAGCAGGTTGGGCTGGTTCATCTTGACCGGGTTACACCGAGAGCCAGTTCTGGTATTTGTCACTGATTTAAATGAGCAAAATTCAAGCAGAAACAAATAATCCCTTAAACGAAAAGCACTTCTAATTACAGAAGTATTGTTTTAAACCAATGTGTACTGTTAAATCTGCCTCTGAATTACGGTGGAGTATAAGCATACAGAAACATTCGGTAGATACTAGCCTACATGTTACAGTTAAGTACAGTACTGAATGTACTCAGTAGCCTGTTGGGTCGGTTTTCAGGGGGTAAATGAAACGATTCATTTTTAATTCACAGGATTGATTGTGATATAAAAATAAACCAAATCAACTGACACCAAACTGACCCCGAGTGAACCCTGTCCACGATAAACCAGCAGCAGAAGAATCACACGTCTCTGTTCTGTGGGGGATGATCTGATTTAGAAGCTACAGCCAAGTGTTGGGAGCTATCACTACTGCTAGCGGGCTGTAGCGCCACCATGTGTAGGCAGGTTACCCAGAAAGTTACCTTTGCCGATGCACAGTTCATGCAGCCTAGAGTTAAAATGAAGTTTAATTATATTGTCAGTTTATTCTCATTTAGGGTTCAGTGTGTTCTCACACCACAGTGTCTCAGCACACGTTACAAAAAATACTTTGCATTAGGACACTGAGGCTCTGAGCGACATAACGGGACATGATACCGGAAGGTTCACTGGCTGCACTGTAACCCAAGGTGCATCAAGTTCATTGTGAACTTAGTGCAACAGTGAATGTTGCACGCACCAATTACTGTCAGCTAATTAAACCAGACTATATTTCAGATTTTAAGCTTTTATATAAAATAATCCAACAAATATTCTTGAAGTTCATCAAGCATTTTGTCTCTTGCGACAGAAAACAGAAAAAGGCACAAATCCAAATTGAGCAGCACGTCCTTGAAGTAGAAGAGGATGATGTTGGAGATCAATGTGTGTGTGTGTGTTTGGTGTCACAAGGGCTGTGTCTGTGTGCCGAACTGTTATCCAGTGGGACTCGTGGCTTCGACCCATCTCTTGCGGTGACCAGGGCTGTTACCAATGTTGTATGCATGCTGGTGTTCAGCGCCACCTACCACCAAGGTGACACTGAGCTGCAGGAGGTGGTGCTATACAACCAAGGCATCCTGGACACCATCGCCAGGGGGGCACTGGTGGACATTTACCCCTGGATGAAGGTACACCTGAACACCTACACTGCTGTGTGCAGAGTAGTGTAAACAGAGCAGAGATCAGGAATGGCTGTTCTTAGCCTCTGAAGCCGTTTGTTGAGAAAACACCCATTATTCATATCACATACATGTCCTCACTTTCCTAAATTGTCCTAACAATGTGTCTGTCCTTTAGGTCTTTCCAAACAAGTCTCTCAGTAAACTGAAGGCCTGTATCGCCATCAGAGACCGACTCCTGACAACCAAACTAGAGGAGCACAAGGTGATGTACAAACATAGAAGACTCTGGATGTAAGATCTTTAAGGGTTCAGAGGACATTTCCCTTTTGCTGTCACAAATTTGGACACATTTGGAAACACAGCAGTTATGTACACCTTTGACCTAAAATCAATCATGGACATTATACGACTTCTTCTGAAAAAGTACAATGAAATCCTCATACTGTAGAAATCTGTGCTGCCTCCTCTCCAGGCATCTCTGTGTGACGGTGACCCCCGTGACCTGCTGGATGCCTTGCTCAAGGGTCAGAAGAGCAGCAACCAGGGTCAAAGGGCATCTGGGTCCGAGGACGAGGGGATAACAGATGACCATGTCCTGATGACGGCGGCTGAGGCTTTTTCAGCTGGAGTGGAGACCACATCCAGTACACTACTGTGGATCCTGGCCTACCTGCTGCACCACCCTGAGGTAACACCACCACTAATCCCGCTACTGATGATGCCATCACTTCTACTACTAATACTGAGGCAGAAGTATTTGCTCTAAGTATCCTCCAAAAGTCTTTTTCTCAAAAACAGATGTTGGAAAAGCGGGGCTGCCTTTAAATCAGTGTGAATGTATTATTGCTGTTCTTGGTGGTATTGGTGCACTTCTGTAGTCCTGGAATAAAAACTCTGTGGATGCTCCAGATCCAGGATCGTGTGCAGAAGGAGCTGGATGAGCAGATTGGCAGCGATCGAGCTGTATGCGCGTTGGCCCGTGGCCCGCTGCCGTCCCTGGCCTGTGTCAATGAGGATCCGACCGGTCAGCCCGGTGTTGATCTCCCACACCGCCATAACTGACAGCAGGTAAACAATGCAGCACATCCACAAACACCAATCCTGCAGAAAATACTGCAGCCTGAAAAACTCAGCACACCTGCACATTAGGAATGTAAATACTGCTTACATGTACAGATACAAAGATACAGTTCCAAATTAACTTGCCAGCTGAATTAAACTATTGTTATTATATAATTATATTAAAATGTCACAGAAATGGTTGGGCCCCTTACACATAATATCAAACATAATATCAATACCGTGACAGTCAAACAGTGTTCAGTATTAATCTCACACCTTTCTTAGTCAAGACCTAAATATCTTTGGCCCCAGATTAAACAATTTGAAGGCATCACCTTTTGTCCTGGGAAATTATAATAAGCACCTTTCGCTCGCAGACAAATTGCTTAATTGATAAAATAGCTGAGACTTATCAATAATAAAAATAATCAATAACTGCCTCTGTATTAAATTCTCTCTTTCCTGTAGTATTGGAGGTCACGCTATCAGCCGTGGGACTCAGGTTTTGGTCAACATGTGGTCGATTCACCATAACCCCCAGTACTGGGACAACCCGGACCTGTTCAACCCAGGTAAAACACACCAACATTGAACGTTACCACCTTTCTTTTCCCGGATAAGATATTGAGGGGTCAAAAATGGCAGCAGGTCATGTGACTTGTAGCTTCAAATAGTTCCAGTCGATTCAGTTCCACTGTCCTCTGTAGGGCACAGTGAGATTTATCAGCATTTACTATTTTAATGACTTGTACAGACTTCTACCCTAATTTTTCCACTGTAATGTGAACATGCTTTAGGGCTCTTTTGCTAATGCTGGGAACTAGTCAAAGGTCCATTGACCCAACATTACTGTCCTTATAGAGTCGAAGGGGACGTCGTTACTCTCCTTCTTAATTCATTCTGCCTTTTCCTACCCCTTCAGATCGTTTCCTTGATGACCAGGGTCAGCGTGTCACACCCTCCTGTTTCCTGCCCTTTGGTGCAGGACCTCGGGTCTGCGTTGGCGAATCCCTTGCCAGGCTGGAGCTCTTCCTGTTCCTGTCCTCTCTGCTCCAGCGACTGAGCTTCAGTCTGCCAGACGGGGCTCCCCTGCCTAACCTGGAGGGGCAGCTGGGTGTGGTCTTGCAACCATTACCTTATAAAGTTGTTGTCACTCCAAGAGCGGGATGGCAGGGCGGAGCAAACTAAGAAAGCAGAGGTAGCTAGTCAAACTTTGTGACAGGAGAAGAAAACGTAAAGCAAAAATGTTTGTCCTCTGCAGGAGAGGGTCAGAATATTAGGAACACCTCTGAATATAATGAGGTCCAGTACAACACCACCTTTAACTATGGCCTCAATAATAAACACAATAGAATTTATACATTTATGACAATTTCACCAAAAACTGAAACATGTTGAGCTTCATTAACAGATGTTAAGGCAGTGGTACAGGTGTACCTAATAAAGTGGCCGGTAAGTGTATGTACATACACACATGTAGGTTACATCTGTTTTCCTTTTTGTCAGTTCCATCTGGAAACACTGCCCGTATTGAAATAGTGAAAATTTTCAGGACAACGGGGGGAGTTTGCTAGCATCTCCATGCATCAGCCTTTTCCAAAACAATGAACAGAGAAGGTTCTGCTACAGGTCTAAAACAAAGAAAAAGGACCATTACAATACTGTATACATCAGAAAACACTCCACTATATCAGAGTTCTAAATCCACATACTTGGCATAAACCTGTGCTAAAATCAAACACTTCCAGGGAGTTTATTTTTTCATTATTTCCTCAAAGTAAAGATAAAGCATCAAATTTTGTCAACGATCGTTGGCAAAGTTTGTTCAATAGTCTTTCTATTCAGTGTAAAACAAGATGTAAGATGATAAAAAGAGGTGTTTAGCAGGGCTAACCTATACATATGGCTAACACAAATCAGAAAATAATTTAACACAAACTAACAACTGCAAATCTTAGCTGATTGACATGCAGAAAAAACAGCTAATGCTAAGCTAACCCGTGGCTACAGCGCTTCAACGTAACCAATACTGAGCTTTTTGCAGCTTCAAGCTAATGTTGTGCTAATTAAGTTCATAACCTGGTTAACAATTAAAAATAAAGCGAATGTAGTAAAACAATGTAAAACCTTCACAGTGTTTTTGACGAGATGTTTGGTGTTTAATGAGTAAAAGATGTTTTGTTTTCTGCCAAATGGTTATTCAAAATAAACATTTAAAAATTGATAGATTATCGTGACAGTAATTTGACATTATTGCTGATTCATCTTCAGCCTGACGATGGTGTTGTGTTGTTCTTACCGTATGAACAAACTCAGACGTGACAGATTTGACAGATTTTATTCTTCACACACTTTTAGAACAGGCTGGTTTAGTTAGGTCACATACATACATCCACACATACACTCACTAGTAATCTGAGCATTGTTATTACCCTTGTTTTAAGGGAATTTAAAGACTAATCTCTTCCCTGCTTCCCTCGACTCCTTCAACATGCAAACAGGAAGGACAGAAGAGAAGAGAGAAGAAGAGAAAACATCTTTTAGAGAGAGAGGTGCCCCGATCACACAAGGAACACACTGAAGTTTTAGTAAATGAAATTATTTTGTCAAACACCTCAGGTGGAGCTGCTTCCAGTCTCCTCATGGATCAAGTCAAAGCTGATCAAAGTGCTGTGCGAGTTGGTGGAAACAATCTTTACGTGTTTTGTCTGGTCTATGAAGGTTTCTGCTGGTCTTCAGGTTTACTAATCAGCAGCAGAGGTTGAAAAACCTTTGGGTTTTTTTAAGTTTTATTTTTGTTGCCTAAATTCCCAAAGAAGTCTTGGTTTTTGCTTCTATTCTAAAGATAATTTGAGGATTTATCTAAGGTTTAAAGATTAGAAGTAGTCAGTTATAGGTTTTAAAGAGTCGTACTGGAGTTAATGTTAGATTCAAACCAAATCTGACCTGTCACTGTGAATCCAGTTGGTGCGACACTCTTCTTTAAAAGAGGACTATTTATGACTGTTTTCATCCACTGACATTTGACAACAAGGTGGTCCTGATTTTCAAAAAAAGAGAGATAAAGACGTGGCTTCCAAAAGTCAGTTCAACCCTCGCATCAGCCTCACTTACTGGGACATCATCATTCAGTTGAAGATCTTAGCCCCTAAATTGCCTTGCTCTACCCATTAGGCTACATGGTATCATCAGTTTGTGGTTCTGAGAGTTCTGACAAGGTCCCCCCAGTCTACCAAGTCCACTCCCACCTCTACAGAAGCTACAGGACCTTGTTCAAAAATCTATGGCTAATTCCAACCAATTATTAAAACCACCGGTGAGATCATTTAGATAAAATCCTCACGTCACATCAAAACCAGCTGCATTTCACTTGGAGGCTGACCCGAGAGCTGCAGCGCCTTTGGAAGCCAGAACTACAGACAGATTTCAGACAGTGTGTCTCCAGCCATTCCGGTCCACACCCACACAGAGCAAGGACAGCTCTATCTAATGCTAAGTAGTAACAGTTGTCAAGTAGAAATGGCACTCTTTAACCATGGAGATATATAACCTTATTAGTTCAGGTAAACAAAAAACACCATGAACTACAACAGCAACCACAACATCAACAGCTCGGTGCACTATTGAGCTTTCTCAAGGAGATCCTTCAGCCTCAACAGGCTCTTTTCAGTCCACAGGCACAGATTTAGCCTGGATTCAACTGAACACGCTCTTGTAATCGACCTCAGTCTGAGATGAATCAAAGAGGATCTGCACGAGCTCTCCAAAGCCAGGAAGGGCTCAAAATTAGATTCCTGTGTCTGAGGTCTACACAAAACAAAAGATCAGATCATTTTTATCCATGTATGAATCCAGTTGTGTGCGCGTTGATTTCCCAAATGTCGAACAAGACTGTGTGGTCCAGAAGACATCCAGGTGTCAGTCAGGTTGAAACAGAAACAGTCATGTACTTTCCAAGGCTGGACACTGCTTTTGTCATAATGAAGTCCATCACAGCTTTGTCCATCATGGGCACCAACAGCGGTGCAGTCACACCCATCGACTTTTGTGACAAATGGATATCAAAGTATGTGAAGTCCATGTTGCAATGCAGCATGGACACAGGGCTTGAGGATCAGTCAACCAGAAGAAAAGTCTTCTCATCAAAGAAGGTTGAGTCACATGGATTTAAGAGTGTTACTTTCCTCCTAAATGATACTGCCTCAAGCTCCTGTGTCTTTACTTTATAAAGCCCCATTCAGATTGAATTAACATTACTAAAGGAGGCAGGGAATTCCACATTCACTGCATTCGTCGGTACCTGAACCCATCCGCTCCCGGCAGCGTTATATCCCTGGTCAAAGACAAAGGCCTCTCCAGGAGGGCACCAGACAAGGGGCGGCTAAGCTACGGTGCGAGGTGAGGTTAAATGAAAAATTGTACCGATCAGTCACAGACTTTCCAAGGATATCATTATCTCAAAAATAAACATCTATAAACTCACTAGGAAGTCACAGAAAAAGGCGCTTCAGAACTTGACAGTCATTGGGTTTTTAAGTTTTCATCAGCATGGCAGTAACCCAGCCATGGGTACACTGCAAACAGGAGCTGCTAATTCAGCAAAGTTTAATGGTACCAGTTTGTCAAATGTTAAAAGAACATCGCTCCAGATGGGATATAAATTACTGGAGGAGCAGCCAGTTCACACAGAAACAGTAGGTAACAGCAGCTGCAGTTATTAATTTGGTGAAGATGAAGTATTACCTACATTACAGTACACACTCCAGATGGGATTAAAATCACCGCACCTCCACTAGAAGACACATCCAATCTGAATGGGGCTCGAGACATTTATACACTCCAGTCTGAAGATTTCTGGTTCAAGTGATCATAATCATCTCGGTAGAATCTGCATGTGTTTCCTCCTGTTGGCTGATGGTCACATTTTAGTCTCTGGTGTCTTTTCCATCAGGCTCCCATATTTGGTTTGGAGCAAACTTTCCAACGCAGCTTACAAAATGTAAAAACAAGAGCACTTTGCTGAGGCAGATGTACGATAAGGTAAGAGACACCTCCCTGTTACACTCCACCCAGCCTCTGTTCAGCTGAAGTCCCACCGAGGCAGAGGGACACCGGCTTACCGTGACAGTGTTTTCTTGTTAGAGTAGATGAATCTTTTCATACAAAACTAAAACAGCACATCTGTATCGTTAAACAGCTGATTATAATGACATGGACGAAGATAGTGATAAGACTATTGTTGACTTTGCTTCTACAGTACACTGAGACAGTTAATAGCACAGATGTGTGAAGCGTCTTTTAAAACTGCACCAGACTTTCATTACAATCATTTCTCTGCTCCTGTTGGGTAAAAGCAGTAAATGTCTTTTCAGAGCCAGTTTGTCCACAGGGTTCCACAGAAGACCAAAGGTTCATAGAAGTGACCCGAATCATAATGGAGCATGTAATATTTCAGTCCAAATAAAAACATGACAATCACCGAAGTCAGACTAACAAGGCTTTTACCAAACTATGACAATGCTTTGTTGGCGACCTTTCCTGAAGCACTTGTCCTGTATTTTTGGGGGATTATTTACATACAGACTCTTGCTGATGAAAAATATTGCTCTTCACTAATTTCAGATTCTAAGGTGGTTCAATATACACGAGCAGGCACTATACAAATGTTACCAACTCTGTCATTGACAAAATATACTCTACCTTAAAGTCTTTCTGGCACAAAATAACAATATTGACAGGCCTATCAATCTGACTGCATACAAAACATCAATATGTTACAACAGCCTCCTAAAAATAAACCCGAAATCCCAATTCTTCAACAGGACTGAGGTTGCTGACATTTGTCAAGGCCTTAAAATAGCTTGAGTTGTTTGATGAGTTTTCTGGGATTAGCAAGGATTGTGAAAGGAGGAGAGGCGTCTGAACGGAGCAACGCACAAAGTGAAAGAGGATATTTCAGATGCAGACTGGGACTGAAAGTGGCTTGTGTGATGTCTACGACATCTAGACAAAGACGGGAGCAATGACGTGTCCTCATCTCTGTTATGTTTGGTGCTTTGTTTCCGTCTAAAAGTCCCCATTGTTTGTCCCTATTTGTGTAAAAGCTTATGTCAGCCAATAGGCTGACGCACAGGAAACCAGTGGAGCCATCCACCCCGAGACCTTCCATACAGGATCAAGTTGCCATGAACACATCAAATCTCAAAGACTGTCTCTCCTACCTCAGAAACTGCCCACCTAAACCAGCTCCTCCTGACAGACTTGATCAAACTGCCCCTCTAATGAATGAATCAGTCTTCCCTCTGTCAGTCAGAGTGAATCATCCTCCCACATCAGTCTCTGTTCATTTCCAAAACAACCAGTTTGTCCTCGGCATGTTTCCAAAATGCCGTCATCACCCAAGACAAGTGAGGTGTCTTGCGCTAAACGTTCAACTATTTAAAGTTGTTCTTTTCTTATTGGTGACACATGCAAGAAAGACGATGTAAATTCTGTCAGATGCATCTACGGAAACCACGTTCGCTGTCTCTATGGCATGCTTATGACTTGGGAGCGTTCACGTCAGGGGACCACTCAACGGGGGCTGTTTGGCTACAGAACTGGTCAGTACAGCACGACGTCCACTACTCTAGCATTTAACTACCATACAACGACAGACCTTGTGCACTGTGACACAACCACGTTTGTTTACTTAGTCAGTTCTTGTTCAGGGCAAAGTTTTAATTTTCATTTTTATTACAACTTGGATGTCGATGTTGACTCTATATGCAAGTCGGTAATTGACAGTTCCAGTGCCTCCCAGTAGACACAACTGCATTCATATCTGTCAACAGGCTGGAAAAGTGAATGACTGATGTTACAGAGTTTGTCACTTAGCTGATCATAGCATCTGCTCAGCCAACCAATATGAGCCCACATACAGAAGGCACTGGAGGCTAGCGTTAGCATGTTAGCATCCATTCCAAGGATAAATAAGCGTTTAGTTACCAAATGCTTGGGTTAAAGGTACTCTGTGGATTTTTGATCACTAGTAAAGTTATAGATAGGTTTCCTGTTGACAAACAATCGAGGAGGCATTTGCATCCACGGGGGTAGAAAGCTGCTAGCGCTATTATGTTTGCTTATCTTTTGGAGATTTTCATCCAAACAGTAATTGGTTGAACAAAGCCGGTGATGACCTTCCTTTAGTAACAGACCACCGTCTCACTGAAGTGCTGTTACCATGGATCTAGTATAAAACACCGTGAAGAGCCTTCATAGAAACACAGAAAACTGCCTAATGTTATTTATATCACTGTTCCACATTTACAACACCTACAGTCAAACGTAGATAATAACAGGTATATGTAATGTGACAGCATGATTAGCACAGTGATTTCTGAGAATACAAACAGCTACTGTTAAATCTCACATTTACCCTCAGTTCTACAGCCTACAGCTTTTTAATGTTTTAGCTAACAATCGTCTTATGTGTCACCCGTCCCATTTAACACGGGATCAGTCAGTTTTTATCAATTAAATGCTCTGTGCTGTTGGTAGGACGCCATTCCACTGTTTGACTCAGTTTACATTGATAGTAAAGTTAAAAAACAAAGCTCAGAAAGAATAAGTTAAAACAAACATGAGCCTTCAAATAGTTGTTCATCCAGCAGTGGTAACTATGCAGAGAGGGTTCAGTACCACAGCTCCCAGTGAGTCCAGTCCAAACACCAGTCAAGTTTGAAAGCACAGGGAGTCAGAAGGAAGCTAGGCTGAGCTCTTTTACCAGGGTGTCGTTGTAAAGCTTAGGCTGCTCTGCTCTGGTTTCTTTCAAACATGCTAGGCTAACTAGGTGGGGGTCTTCTCAATAAGACTTTCAAACATGCTAGGCTGACTAGGTGGGGGTCTTCTCAATAAGACTTATAGGAATCATTAGTGAACAGTAGGGAGAAACACTCAACAGAAGTGAAATGAGCTCTGCACCAGCTCCCAGCCACCAAGGCCAGAGGAGCCCCGGACTCTTTTATTGCTGAAGCCACAATATTCTCCTTCTCTGTGGGAGGGAATGTTTCCCCTTTGGGGTGTTGGCATTTTCCAGCCGTCGTCCAAGCAAATCTAACAGTTTACAGCACAACACGACCTCATCATTTTATTGTCTGCATGGAGTCTCGGTCATTTTAGTTTGTTTTCTACCCCCGTGTTGCATTCCCATCGCATTGATGACGTCGCTCAGAAATCCGTGCACAGAACAGTATTCTGATGAGCGGGTTCCCAGTTTGGTTGGCATGCACATGACAAATCACATGTATGTGACTGTGAATAAGGATGACAAGACACATGTAGTGTGCACAAGCTGTGTAAAGTCCCTTGCTTCCATAAATTCTACTGATCAACTCTTGTTACACATAACAAACGAAGAAATGTAGCAATGTGCTAGCCAAAGGCAGGGAAGGACAAGACTGCTAGCTAGAAAATATGGCTGAAAGCTGTAGTTTGTAGTGTAGGTCAGCCTCCCAGGACGCCGGCTCCTGCACTTCGGATTCAACATGTTTTTCAGGCCTCAACGACGCACGCTGTGCACTCTGGTAGGAAGTGCTACGCGTATCTCCACGTTACGTTTAGCTCATGCTTCTGAAGCGCTAACGCAGAGTACGTTGGAAACTAGAGCTGAAGACACGACAGTGAACTGCGTCAGCTCCACAAACAAGCCAATGTGACCAAGAACATCACTGAATCTACAGACACTTCACAACAAGCTGCTTCAGCCAACTCTTACCAGCCTGTGGTAGTCACTTAAGCATTGGTCATGAAGAAACAGCTCCGCAGTGTTACGCCACAGAGGACTGCTAAATATTTTGAGACTAACACTGTTGGGATCAAAATGTGAAACGTTTTACAAATAACTGACCAGGTTTGTGGTGCTAAAGTTGTTTAACTTGATGGATGCAGTCCGACTAAACCACACCAGTACTCACTATTCAGAAACGTCCAGAACATGGCCCAGTTGAATGTACCATGTGGCAGTGAGCTCATGCTCATAGGCTGATCCTACCACACATCCGATACCCGTGCTGGTCGGGCGCCATTTATTAATGTGACTCATCAACATCTACGGTCACAACCTCCCCGATCTCTAAGACAGTTTTAAGGCTTGACACCATAATTTGACTTCTGTTCATCCCGTTTGGATGACGAATGGTTTGTTCGTACATGTCTGGCAGTCACACTGTCTCCACGACAGTAACGGCTTTGCCACTGTCCTCGGACGTCGGCGTGGTGGTGGAGGTGGGGTTACACAGTGTAAGACCTTCGCCTGTGGTTATCTGACCTCTGGCAGGGCAGTCCACGCTGTCATGGAGATCAGTGTTTCCACCTCCTTTTTTATCCCTCTTTCCTCCTCCTCTCATACGGTCTTCCTTCCTTTCCCCCTCCTCCTCTTCATCCTCCTCTTCCACCCGGCACCTGCACACCTCAATCCCAGAGTCACCAGTCAGCCGACGGGGCCTATACTGGCTCTCGTCGGCTCCCACGTCCTCATCTTCATCATCGTCATTATCCTCCTCCTGATCCTCTTCTCCATCCTCCCAGTTAGGGGGTCCTGGTACAAAGACATCCACGCAAGGGGAGAAGAGAGTCTGTTTTGGGGGCGACTGAGTGGCACGAGGTGAGGGGGAGAGTGAGGAAGCGTGGCCAGAAGAAGACCCACCTTTGTCAGACTGGTGCAGAGCAGTGAGGGGGTCCAGGAGTAAAGCTGGGGCTGGAAAGGAGGTGGATGGCATGGTTTGAAGGGAGGGGAGGGAATGAGGAGTGGGAAGGCATGGGGGTGAAGATGTGGAGAGGGCTGAAGAGGGCGACTGAGGAAGAGGAGCAAGAGACGATTCAAACTCTACAGTTATGGCTGGGCAGGAAGAAGCTGAGGTCTCAGGTGTTGGGAAGGTGAGTGCTGGAGCAGGAGCGGACACTGGATCTGATTTAAAATCAACAAGAAAGCATGATCCAGGTCCAGCACCAGAACTAAATGAAGTCTGGTCACCTGAAGGCAATGGACTGGTAAGACATGGCCCTGATGGTTGAGGTGGGACCAGAGAAGCACAGCGACTGACTGGTCCTGCTGCTGGATCAACATGAGATATGAGAACAGCATCAGCCCCTGGGTATTGAGCCATGCCTGACCTTGGACTAGGAGGAACCAGGACTAGAGCTAATCCAGGTGAAATTTCTGGGCTCTGGCATTGGGTTGATGTAGGTGAAGCGAATTCTGCATCTGTAGCTACAGTAAGATTTGAATAAGCAGGATTTGGGGTCAGAGTGAGGCTGAGTGTGGAATCTTGGACAAGGGTGGTTTCAGGCTGTGGGTCTAGCACTACAGTAACGTCTGCAAGTACTGGACCTGATAAAGGGGTACGGATTGTGGGTTCTGTTTCTTGCACTAGATCTTGAGTAAAACTTGGAGGTACAGTGTCTGCAGCTTGGAAAACGTTTGCAGGTCCTGGGACTGGAGTTTGTGTAAGTTCTGAAGGTGCTGGAATTGGCACAAGGCTTGGATTTGCATCTGAGGTTGTGAGACCAGCAGAGCCTTTTGTCAGGGCTAGAGTTCTTCTAACATCTGGGGGCAGTACTGACACTGGGCTACTAGGAGTATTGGCTGTATCGACATTCTTTGTTAAATAGAGGGTTTCGAGGGGTTGTGTTGCTGTAGAGCTGTCAGAAGTGCTGGTTGTTGGGGTAGAAGGGCCTGACACTGAGGTGATTTTTGGAGTTGGGTAAGTTTCGGGGCCCTCAATGCTTATTATTTGGATGGAGGGGAGTGCTGTATCAACAACTTTTGGACTAAGGAGGGGACTCAGGCTACAGGTGCTGACTATTGGTGTACACATTGCTAGGTCAAGTTGTTGCTTTATGGGAGATGGAGTTCCAAGAGTCACATCAGCACCAGGAGAAGGCAGAGGCTGAGGGGAGGCCACCCTGGTCACAACCGCAACAGTAACAGTCTGGTTTGGAACCGAGCTCATGGCAACGGGTTCCTGTGCGCCGCCAGCATCTGCATCGGCAACTGAGGCGACCCTCAGCTCAGAAGCCAAACGTGTCTCATTTACCTCCAAGCAGGTTGTCGCAGAACCGATGGTCTCCACGGTGAGATCAAGAGCTAGGGGTGTGGCCTCACTCGGTGTGGAGGCGTGGCTTGTGTCAGTCTCATAGGTGATGGGTGCTGATAGGGAGGAGCTACATGGAGACGATGGGCAGCAGGAGTCACAGGAACAACTGGAGCTGCAGGAAAGACAACACATCACAGTGGAAATGCAAATACTGCATCAAGCTAGCAGAGGTTAAAGCAAATATGGGCCCTGTATGTGACAGGTGGCAGTTAGTCTGTTTAAACAGGAAGTCTCATTGTGGTCAAGAGCTCTTTGGGATAAAACTACTCTTCCCCTGATCGGGGGAACCCCAAGCAGCCAGGCCTGATCCACAGACTGTGGTGGACCCACTTCACCACCAGAACTGCAGTAGCTTTAGCCGCAGTGTTACCTGTTGTCAGAGCTGAGGGAGGAGGGACCGTCGCTGAGTGGCCGGTGCAGCAGTGGGTCATGCTGCGTGAGCAGATGGGGGTCGGCAGTGCGGGGGGGCTGCGGGTATCGTGGAGTGGTGAACACAGAGCTGTAGGGAGGAGGAGGGGTGGAGGGCTGAGCTGCCACCTCCTCATATGACGGCAACTTCAGAGACGCCAGGAAACCTAAAAACAAAGCGAGGTTAAAGCAAAAAAGATGCTGGTTTGATAATCCTGCTTTTTAATTATCTTTCAGTATTTCTGGCCATTTTTGTCATTGCAGCCAGACAGGTGACAGGAAACAAGGGGTAAAGATGGAGCATAACAAGTTCTCCACACAGCCTCAAACCACAGATCTAGATTTAACATCAGCGTCTTATGGTATGACGAGTTTACACTTCCTTTTAACCAGGGATGCACCAGTACCACCTTCTAGTACTCGTAGAAGTCGTCCGATACTATGCACCAATACCAGTTAACAGCAGCCTCACACTGGCTGAGCAGGTCATTAGGTGGTAGAGAAGAAATTTCAGTGGTTCAGGGATATGAATGTGAACAGACTCCTGATGATGAAATATTTAGGGGAATTGCCCTTTATGACTGAAACTGAGCTGCTTTCCACTGGCTGACAAAACATCTGGCTCCACTGTGGGGACAACGGAAGGAAATCCAATTCAAGAGGGCTGATGATGAGAGTTTCTTAAAGGAAAATGAGTTGCTGTCGGGACATTTCATCCTGAGTGAAATAAAGAAAACCTTGACATGAGTGTGGGGAGGAACTATGGCAGGACATGATGTGGAATAACCACATTGTACTTCTGAACAGCAGCAGAATTCAAAGCAAACTGGGCTCAGAGCTGTAAACCTACACTGAGCCGTCACAGTGATGGATCGCAAAAGCAGCACGCGTCACTCACGCACACACAGAAAGAGGAAACAAAACAAGAAATGGCTTTGTTGTCACGGTGCTGCGGATTTAAAAGCAGCTCTCAGACCGGCAGATACTCATGTCTTACTGAGGTCCAGCATGGAGGAGGGGTAGGAGCTGGCGCCATGGTAGGCCAGCAGGCTGATCTCTCTCTGCCTCTGCTGCTGCTGGACTCTCAGCTTGGCTCGCCGGTGTCGGTAGGCACAGCAGCAGCTGAACAGGATGAGGACGGTCCACAGCAGCCAGAACCCTGGACCCACACAGGAGAAAATATTTCACCTTATTAAGACAAAAACACCACTGATCTACAAACATCCTCATCCGACGTCTTTCTCATTCCATGTTAAAGATGCATCAACACCGAGGTTTCCCACACTGTTGGATAAACCCAGTGAAAAGGAGACAGGACGCGGTGTTGCTCAGCTCTACCACCCTTATTACAATGACCTGACTTCTGTGCAACTGTTAGCAACAATCTTATCCTTCTGTTCTATATATGATTACTGTACAATATGTCAGTCACGTAGCACCTAGAAACCTGGGCTGAAAACCAGCCCAGTTGAACCTGGTTATTCTGGGATGGATGGTTTGGACTCTGGGAGCTTTATTTTGTCTGACTGTAGAAGAAAACATACATTTGTCAAAGTGTTTGGTCCACACTTATCGTGTTCTCTGTTTCATTGTGCAGTCCTGTGTTGAACACTGACAACAAAGCTGACCCTTGAACCTAAACTACAAACCCAGTTTGTTCAGCCCAGCTCATACTAAAAGAGCAGGAGAGGTGAAGCACCGGGATAACTCAAAGACGTTGTTGCATTGGAACTTACACCAGAGTTCGTAGTAGTAGGTGCAGCAGCCGGTCTCTCCACAGCAGTGGCCCGTCTCACACAGGTAGCCTGCGTTAGCGTTGGCCCCAGGGCAGTACCGCGGTCTCCCCAGCAGGGGCAGGCTGCCACCGGAGTGGTACTCCATCGCACCCCTGCTCTGTCCGGACTTAGCCCCAAGCCACTGCTACCTGCTCACCAATAGCTGCTAGCCGCTAACTAGCCGTTAGCTGCTGAACACGTGATCCTGCTGGGAACTACATTTTTAGGTTATTTATTTTCTCACTGAACTTTATTCTGGAGAAGGGCGGCCTTCGGTTCTCTGCGCCAGCTGTTAGCTGCTAAGTGAAAGTAGCTCCAAAGTGAAGCTAATCTACATTTTCAGACGAGCTGAATGTTGCTGTGTTTGTTCTGCAGCTGACAGGATTTCACAGTGAAGCAGCTGCTAGCTTAGCAGGTTCACTCATCTTTCTGACAACCAGCTACTGAGTTCATCACTAGCAGGACTGTATCAAAGGAAGGAATGATTCAGGGCCCTCCCCAGAAATCCCTGCAAAGCAACAAGCTAAGGTCCCAGGTTTGTTAGCACCAAACTGCACTGACATGGAACTGAAAGTCTCTTGAAGGCTGCTGTACTCTGAGGCTGCAGCCAAATAAAACAGCACACCTCTGCAGGCAAACACAGGTACTAGCACTGACTACTGCAGCTAAATACTAGCAGCACTACAGCTGTGGTAGAGTAATGGCTGGTGGAGTGTGACGAGATGACGGCAAACAGGAGGTCCTGGACTGGAGACAGAGACAAAAGAGACAGTTTATTGGTAAACAGCACTTCACACACACACTCACACACACACACGCCTACGCCTGTTTGATATTCATTGCTGCTCTGGCTCGAACCACAAGTCAACACAATGCTCCCCCTCTGTCCAGGTCACACATGCATGTTTGTACGTGCACACTTGTGAGGACAACCAGTGACATCATGCATTCCCAGGCCTCTGACATTAAAGGACAAGGACAATTTTTTTTTCAAGTCTGTCATACGCACACTGAAAGCGCTGCCGTCCTCTCTCCATACCGGCAGCACAGACAGTAAGTTCAGTTTAAGTGATGGGGGACAAAATGCTCAGTCCTCATTCTGATAGCAATAACTCCAAAGATCAGCCAAATATAATCAGCAGTGTGACTCTGACTGGGGCTGAAACTAGCAACTATTTTCACTGATTTCTTCTTTAATAAAATGTTGGAAAACACTGAAGAACACCTGCTACAAGTGCCTAAAGCCCAAGGTGACGTCCTGTCTTCTTCTGCCTGACCAAAACCCACAGATATTAAATTTACTGAGGCATAAAACAGGAGAAGCAGCAAATCATCACGTGAGCAGCTGGAACCAGGACACTGTTGAGCATTGCTGCTTGAAACGTGGCTTAAACAACAGACAGATCATTGAAATGGCTGGCAATGACTTTTCTGTCCATCGTCTAACTTCAGCTGTAACTTCGACAGTGACAGTGTTTCTGGTGCCATATTCTGATAATAAGAGTAGATGTGTTAGGATCTGAGATGACGACTGGTCCATCCCATCTTTTCATTAATGGGAAATGACCAGAATCAAAACTTTTTAGACAGGTGTCAGATGAGAGCTCTGTTCCGGACTTTGCTCAAGTATTTTCATCTTTTTAATAGAAAATGACAAAGATTCGCTGGTTTCAGTTCCATATATGTGAGGATGTTCTGCTTTTCTGTGTCCTGGATCACTGTCCATTAATTAGGTGTAAAGTCTGATCAGCCCTTAAGTCTTCAACAGGTCTTTGAAGCCCAAAGTGGGGACTGGCCACAAAGTCCTCAGGACAGATGTGCAGAATTCCCACAGCAGGGTTTTAGACTGTGGAGCTCCCTACTGGGCCAGGTTCTGTCCGTGTGCTGCAGTGAGCGGTAAACATGACGGCTTGTGGTCAGTGAACGCCACACACAGACACGCACAGCGGCCATATGCACAACCTGGCACAATGCATCCTCCATTTACTCTCCCTGTAGTATCACATCACAGAAGTAGGACATACAACTACTGACTGCAGTATTCGGTGTGTTTATATGTTAAGGATGTGTATTCGGTGCTAACCCCCCGGCACACGGACCCTCCTGCTGCCGTTACCAGTAAAAATCCCGGTAGCTCATAAACCAAAACAACCTTACCGCTGTGTCCATCTGTCCGCGCTCCTCCGTGTCAGTCTGCGGGTCTCGCTGCTCTGGTTGTCGCTGTGATTACTGTCTGTTTGTCGGTGCTCGGTACCGCCGGGGCCTCCTCTCTCCGTCTCCCCGGTTCCACGCCTCCTCTCTCTCCCTCCTCGGTGCGACCCTCCACCAGCCCCACCGCCATCGGCGCCAGCGACACGTAAAGCCTCCGCGGCACGAGACGACTCACTTCCGTCTCGTCGCTCACACTGATTTCAAAATAAAAGCTCAATAGCAATTACTGATGTGATTAAAGTTTTTCTCTTTAACCCGTAAATAAAAACTATTATATACTATATGTTCATGTATGATAAACTGTAATTATATGAACAGAATGTGTTATTACATCGGAAGTTGTTTCTACCATCTAGTTTAGGTTTGTAGCTTCCTCTTCATACGTCCAGTTACTACATTATTGTGTTTTATCATCACGTTCAAATTGTGCAAACACATAAGGGCAAACCATTAAAAAGTACTTTAAAATGTCGATGCTTTAATAAATACACTAACCGGTCACTTTATTAGGTACACCAAACAACACTTCCACCTTAGCATCTGTGTTCACAAAGCTCATATTTGGTGAAACTGTCATAAATGTATCAATTATGTTTATTACTGAGGTCATAGTTAAAGGTGGTGTTATTCTGGACTACATCATTTTCAGAGATGTTTATAATATCCTGACATTGTCGTGTATGTAGCTAGGGAGGACAAAAATATAGAAACACCCCTGAAAATGTGCTAACATTTAGGTGTCGTGCTTTTATTTTGTAAAGAAAGAATGCGCCTTAATTTAACCGGAGGTACAGTTTTTCCAACTCGACGGCCCCGCCATTACAGACACTAGACAATAACGGTACCGAGCCTCCCGCAGTACCGAATCAGCGAAAGCACTGATGAAAATGACAGAGATCAGGCTCCATAATAACAAGTTTGTTGTTCATCATTGTCCAACGTTCATAGCGATGAGGACATTGTTATACCACGGCGGGCCGTGTATCCGTGTCTTCACGGAGAGCTTGACAATTATGACAAGGTAACGGACCAATACGAAGGAAACGAACTACAAAACAGGCCACACCTTCATATTAACGTAGTATTGATAATAAATCGTAGTAGTAATGATGACAAAGTAATTATGGATTCTCATGGCGGACGCACAAAAAAAGCTGGAGTGAAGGACTGCAGGCCAATCAGAGCGGCCGCTGAGGGGAGGCTGCCCTCCCAGCAACAAGAGAGGAGTTTTTATTTTGTATTAGAGCGTCCGAAAAGACAGACAGACTCAGGGACAGACAGACAGACAGACAGACTCAGGGACAGACTGACTGACTCAGGGACAGACAGACAGACTGACTCAGGGACAGACAGACAGACAGACTCAGGGACAGGCAGACAGACAGACTCAGGGACAGACAGACAGACTCACTCAGGGACAGACAGACAGACTCAGGGACAGACAGACAGACTCAGGGACAGGCAGACAGACAGGCAGACTCAGGGACAGACTGATAGACTCAGGGACAGACAGGCAGACTGACAGACTCAGGGACAGACAGACAGACTCAGGGACAGACTGACAGACTCAGGGACAGACTGACAGACTCAGGGACAGACAGACAGACTCAGGGACAGACTGACTGACTCAGGGACAGACAGACAGACTCAGGGACAGACTGACTGACTCAGGGACAGACAGACAGACTCAGGGACAGACTGGCAGACTGACTGACAGCTGGATATCTCAGAGTTCTTCTGAATTCTCTCTGAACATACAGTGAACACAGATCCACCAAAACATCACATACATAAAGAGAATGATTAACTTGGAACAATGTCAAGATGTCTTATCATAATAATGGGAATAAAACTTTTTATAGCTCATCCTTCTGTAGCAGAGTTTACAGAGTTAAACAACAACAAAAACAACATAGTAAATAATAGTTGAAACCATAAACTTCCTCACACAGTTGCTGCCACCATAGATTTCTGTGTTTTGGTACTGAAATGGTAACAACACTAACTGTTCGAGTTTGTTCTCATGTTATCTTGGAGGGAGGACGGTTATACGTATTTGTTTGTATTTATTTGTTCTCTGAGCAATGTTGTTGTTGTTTTACCTTTATTCGTTTATATTTGACTGTAATCATCAAATTAAATGGCTGTAAAGTGATAAGAACCAGTGTGACTTGATTGGTAAGCACATTCAATCAATAGGTGTTTTAAGAAGGTGACGTCATAATAATTGTAATGCCTTTGGTTAAGATATAAGTTAGAACAGTTCATAGTTAAAAGCACTTTCTAGTTTCATGAAATGTACTATTATTAACAACTGACAGAATAATACACAATACGTAACGGAGCTAACAGTGTTTTCTCCCTCTTTCACTGAGGAAATAAGGAGCTAACAGTGTCTTCTCCCTCTTTCAGTGAGGAAATAAGGAGCCAACAGTGTCTTCTCCCTCTTTCAGTGAGGAAATAAGGAGCCAACAGTGTCTTCTCCCTCTTTCAGTGAGGAAATAAGGAGCCAACAGTGTCTTCTCCCTCTTTCAGTGAGGAAATAAGGAGCCAACAGTGTCTTCTCCCTCTTTCAGTGAGGAAATAAGGAGCCAACAGTGTCTTCTCCCTCTTTCAGTGAGGAAATAAGGAGCCAACAGTGTCTTCTCCCTCTTTCAGTGAGGAAATAAGGAGCCAACAGTGTCTTCTCCCTCTTTCAGTGAGGAAATAAGGAGCCAACAGTGTCTTCTCCCTCTTTCAGTGAGGAAATAAGGAGCCAACAGTGTCTTCTCCCTCTTTCAGTGAGGAAATAAGGAGCCAACAGTGTCTTCTCCCTCTTTCAGTGAGGAAATAAGGAGCCAACAGTGTCTTCTCCCTCTTTCAGTGAGGAAATAAGGAGCCAACAGTGTCTTCTCCCTCTTTCAGTGAGGAAATAAGGAGCCAACAGTGTCTTCTCCCTCTTTCAGTGAGGAAATAAGGAGCCAACAGTGTCTTCTCCCTCTTTCAGTGAGGAAATAAGGAGCCAACAGTGTCTTCTCCCTCTTTCAGTGAGGAAATAAGGAGCCAACAGTGTCTTCTCCCTCTTTCAGTGAGGAAATAAGGAGCCAACAGTGTCTTCTCCCTCTTTCAGTGAGGAAATAAGGAGCCAACAGTGTCTTCTCCCTCTTTCAGTGAGGAAATAAGGAGCCAACAGTGTCTTCTCCCTCTTTCAGTGAGGAAATAAGGAGCCAACAGTGTCTTCTCCCTCTTTCAGTGAGGAAATAAGGAGCCAACAGTGTCTTCTCCCTCTTTCAGTGAGGAAATAAGGAGCTAACAGTGTTTTCTCCCTCTTTCACTGAGGAAATAAGGAGTCCAGACTTTGATTAGCCACTTATGCATAAACAATGTAGGCATATAGGAATTTTAACCCCAATAAGCGGAGTTGACCATTTTAATGCCTCCTTCTCTGAGGAACAGATGCCGTGAACGGTTCCTGCTGGGGGGCGTTGTTTAAACCTGACGGACACGGTGCCAACCACAGGGGGCACAAAACATCCAAACATCATAAGAATTCAGTTCCGTGGGAAGCTGAAGTGTCTGTTTACACAAAGAAATAGTCCGCGAACTTCTTCCTGTTGCTTTACATATATTGGTTGTAAACTGAATCAAAGTTAGTTTTGTTTGCCAGCCTCCAGTAAAGCTCAAGAAGAAGAAGACCACGGTCGCTGTTTAACTGTAGCGGAACTTTATTTTTTATTTTTCATTCTCGCTCGGAGCACAATCGCGGATGCACCATCACTGCCGACAGAGGAATTTTCATCAACAGAAGAAGAACAGGTGTTAAAAGATGCTTAATGCGACGTATGTTTCCTCTGTGGACTCTGAGCTGTCGACGGTGCAGATCCTGAGAGGAATCATCACCGAGAAACTGACAACAGCCGCCCAGGAGATCTTTGCGGTTGTAGAGAGAACCGTGACCGGGTACGAGGAGGAGGCTTCAGGAAGGAGCTCGACCGGCAGAGGAGGCAGCTGGAGGTTGTTCTTCAGCCTCAGGTCACACTGTGTAGTGTTGGTCTTTGGTTCTTGTTACCATTGCTAACTCTGAGAGACGAGACAGTCCAAGTAACTTCAAAACAGTGCTGATTTATTCAAAGGATCACAGGTAAAATTAACATTACACGCTCAAGTATCTTGCACCTCTAACCTGCACGCAGGCAGATGTAAGATGAAAGACCCTGAACCCACCAGGCCTATACATTATATCCCTTCGGTTGGGCTAGCCCCATACTAGACAGAAACGTCAACCGGGACGTCTCTGTTACCAGCTTTGCAGCTGGCCATAGCAGTAGTCAAAACATGAAGCAAATCAATGTGTG